TTAAATTCTGTTTCTGCCTATGATATTAGCACTGGGAATAACTTGTGAAGATGTTAAAAACATATCTAACCATTCTTGAGCTTTTTTACAAAATAGGTTTCCTGTTAATTCATCTTGACCTAACATTTTATAAAGTTCACAAAATCCTAACCAGAGTTTTCGAACTTTTATAGCACGTACTGGTAGTAATATTATATTTAGATTGAAGTTTTCTATTACTTTTAACTTGTCTGGGCCCATTAAAGAGATAAACTTCCATACTTTTGTTTTGTGGTCTTGCCAAAATTCAAATTTTACACCTATAGCACTCATTTCTTTACATATTAATTCTCTCATTTCGTCTATAAAATATCTATTATTTTTATATTTGTTTAACACCAATTCCTACAAACGGTCGGTTATTCGTAGCATTAAATGAAGTTGATTAACTATATAATTAATTATTGGAATCATATCTAATATAGGAGAATGAATGTGACCCAGGAAACTTTGATACTTTTCTCTAAGTTGATCTATTTTTTTGATATTGTCCAGTTTTTTTTTAGATCACCTATTGAATTCTTTGTACAGGGCACTACAGGCAAAAGTTAACCACATTAGATACATTAAAGCCTAAGATGGTTGCCAAAAATTTTTAATCGGATGAAAAAAAAACATCAATATCACATCGTTGACTATAATTATCTATAAAACCATTGTTATATAATTGTTGTAATTCATTGCGAATCAGCTCTAAGCCAATTTTAAGTAAAAAATAACTTTCTTTGCCAGAAAATAATAAAATAGTATGTGCTGTTCTGGTTTCATAAGAGTTTTTTTATTATTTAAAACCGCTAACGTTACCATCACGTGATTTTTTTTTCCTACATTTCTTCTGTTACCTGAGACTCGCAAATATATTGTAGAGGCTTCATAGTTAAGAACTTGGCTTGCAACAAGCTTTGGTATGAGGAATTGAAGAATCCTAGATATACTACGATAGCCACCTTTTTCTAATGTAGTTATGCTTTTTCATCATCAGAATCACTATTTGAAGTTTGTGATTTCATATCAAATACCAACAATGGAATATGTATTTGCATTATTTTATCTATATTATATTTTTCTTTACTAACTAGCCAGTCTTTTGGCAAATCTTTTGAGGTAGCTGTTAAATCTCTATAGCCTCTTTGTGAAATATTAGATCATTCTATTGTTTGAATAATTTTTTGTACCTTTTTTTGTTCTAGCTGTTGATCTTTTTCAAATTCGATTAACCATGGTTGTTCACCCACTTCTATTACGATTTCTTTAAGTTTAGAATTATCCACACGGTGCCAAATTTTATTTTTTTTGGTCTCAAAATTGAGTAAATTTTTAGCTATTCTTTTAACTTTATTTCTATGTGAAAAATTGCTAAGATCATTAAGAGGTTTAACACATCGTGGATGCCTTTTTTTTGTGATAGTTTTATTTAATTCTTCATATAATTGTAATCCAAAAATAAGTATTTCAGAAAATGCTGTCTTTTTTTCTGGATATTGTATCTTTAAAAAATAAAAAAATTAAATTATTAAATTATCAAATTTTAAAATAATTATAATAATTATATAACTTAACTTACATTACAATACTTGCTGGCTGCATCTGAGGTAAAACTATTACATAATCTTGTTTATTGTATATCTACTCAATTTTAAAATATAGAGTTTTTTCAATATAATCTATAGATGCTTGAACATAATTTTTTATACTACGTCCCCAAGAAGTTTCAAGTTTATAAGTGTCAGGAACAGGATATAATCCCAAATTTTGTGTATATTTAAGAATTGGTTGCAAGAGAAGTGTACCTAAATTTATAATTGTGTAGGTGTAGTTTCCATTTTTACTTTTCCAAGAAACTAGATTATCATGTGGATAATTATAATATATTGCTCCTTCAAGCTTTTTTCTCACGCTATTTAACATCTTAATATTCTTTAATTAAAAACTTGTAAAAAACCCAAATATATTAGATATATAAAAATATTTAAAAATTTATATTTGTTACATATTTTTTGTACGAATATAAATCGTAGCAATACCGTAATGGCAGTTTATTCTAGAAGTTGACAACCAACTAATATTCACTTTTATATTTCATCACTTTCTTTGCCTGCTAG